CACAAGTCCACTCGACATATATTCACTACTAGGGTACAAAAAGGGCGCTAAATAACTCCGATGGCGCTAGCAAGGCGAGTAAATCTCCCAGCAGTGCATCTGCAGCGGCTCCAGATTCCGTTCACACTCGATGACGTTTTCCCACATGGACGCGTTGGCAAAGTCGCGTTCGTAGGCTTTGAGCAGCTTGACCGTCGCGCCGAGGTACGAGAGCCACGAGACGAGCTCGCACGGCGTCTCTTCCACGGCCGCGGCGAGCTCTTCGAGGCCTTCCAAGAGCGATCCGGCGACGTCGGCGTCGACACCAAACGTCTTGGCGCACTCGACAAGCTCGTACAAATGCGACACCAAGTCCAAGCAGCACTCGACCGTGAGCTTCGAGTGGTACCGAAACTGGAGCGCTTCAAACTTGAGCTCAGTCGCTTCAACATGCGAGCTCCACTCGTCGGGCACGAGCTCGAGCAGCGACGCGAGCGACTGCGATAAAAAGTGGAACGACTCGGACAAGAGGTGCGGCTCCTTCTGGATCGCGTCGGCGGTCGCATCCAAATCCAGCGCCATGGCCGCAAAGGCGTCTGCGACCTCGGCATCGCTGACGCCAAGGTGGGCTTGGTACGCAATATCCCACATGTCCTGGATGAGCGAGAGGGCCTCTTCGGCAATCTCGACGTCTTCGTCTGCCACGTCCTGCTCGTCGTCGTGTTGTGGGCACTCGTCGAGGGACCCGTCAATATCGTGCGAGAGACCGTCGACGTCGATCTCGAGGTACGGCTCGAGGATGCTCTCTTTGGCTGGCGCGCCTTGGTCGTAGTCGAAATCATCTTGCGGGCTCTCCATTTCGGCCGTCGTACCTTCGTCGGTCGTCGGCGGCTGGTCGCTCTTGTAGTAGTAGCTCACGAGCTCGTCCTCGTTCGTGTCGCGGTACGAGTGCACATCGCCCGTCGTGTCGACCTCCTCCTCTTCGTCGTCGTTGGGCATGTCAATCTCGAGCGACGGCACGCGGATCGACTGGTAGCTGCAGGCGACGCAGAGGCCGTTGGCGAGGTCGAGCAGACTCGGGTCGATGGTCGCGCCACAGCCTCTGCATGTGCAACAACTTGGCGCTTGGCTATGTGCTGCCTCGATGGTAGATGATGATGTTTCTTGCGGCAGTGTAATGTGCACGGCGATCGGCGTCTCGACGGCGCATGTGGCCATGAGTGGCTCGGTGCGTTCCCTCCACTCGTCCTCGGGCTTGTGCGTGCAGGCATACACGATGATACCGGCGACGCAGACGCCTGCGAGCGCCAGCAAGACGAACGGCAGGACGATCATGCTTGGTGTTTCTGTCGTTTGTCGGTATGACCGGCGCAGTTGCGTCCGAGGGTGGTCGCGCAGCAGCTGGTCGACGAAATATCGAAGCGTGTGGCTTCGATTTTTTAAATTCTGTTTGGCTTTTTGTATGGAAACGCGTGGTTTTTAACCAATTGGGTGCGTTTGCGGATCCTACAAGCAAGTAGCCAGCATACAGTGTACTGGCCGCCCTCGTCGCCTGGCGCGTTCTGCGCCAGAGTGGCTCTGCCCAAGAGGCAACCGAGCACGACTGGTGGCGACGATCGGTGCCACTGCTGCCGACGCGCACGACGTCGGCGCACCTCGTAACGCGCAGCGCGACCGCGCGTCCGCTCAAGATCGCGCACTCATGGGTGTGAGTCCAGGCTAATAACGTTGCAAATTGGTCGCCACACGACCCAGCATCCTCCGTGAAGCGGCGTATGAGAGGGCTCGGGCCCCGACGTCACGGCCTAGACAGGGCCACATGCGATGACCCAAGTGCGTAGCAAAGTTGGCGGTTCGCTTGCTGCGACACCACCCGCGCACCCTCGTGGCGACGGCGCGGCGAATTGCGCAGCGAGTGTTTGCTCGTCAAGCGCCGTAACGCAGCGAGCACGAGACGCCCAAGTGCTACTGTAGCGCACCCTTCCTTGCAGTTGCGGCACGAGCCCGCGATGTAGCAGCCGAGGCCCTTGGTTGGACAAATACGCAGGGCGCAAGATACTACAAGACGGCGACGCGTCTCTGTGCCATGGCCACAGCGATGTGGAGTTGAAGGCGGCGCTTGGTTGAGTGCAATCATCATCATGGCCCAGCATCTGCGACGAGGGATGCATTTTGGTATGGCGAGGCTGGATTGGCTGAAATTTAATTGCATGGACCAATCCGCGTGCCGCAGCCGCTTCAATGTGAAGCTGATCCGGCGCCTTTCACGTCGTCGCTACGCCGACGTTCCTGCCGGGGCGCGTGGCCGCACGGCCTATATGAGCTAGCAAACCTCTTGTCAAGAGGCTAAATTATTTTGTGCTGGTGCGATAAATACGTCCGTGGGACGGGTTCGAAGCGGTGGCCGTCTGCACTCGCCGTGTGCTTGGTGACGTACGGAATCGCACCATCAAAAGCTACTGCGTTTCGCATTGCATCGCCGTCTCTGTCCCGTGGCCATGCGCCGACGGCTGGCTTCTTTGCCCACGATTCGCTTGTGCTTGGCGGTCGGCGAGGGGCGCCTTGGTCCTCGTCTTGTCTTTGCGTCGCTGGACTAGAGGTGGTTCGACCCATGCATCTTCCACACCGTTAGCGTCGCCACCAAGCCAGCGCCAAAATGACGAGTTTTCCACACCATATTTTTAGCAGAAGGTACACAATAGACGCCCAATTGTCGTATTGTCCACCTCTCAAGTCGACTTCCGAAATGGCGAGTGGGATCGAATAGCCAAATTCTGTTCAAACCGACAAAAGATACACTGGCATACCGGTAGTCATAGAGGATGTAGTCGCATGTCGCATAGATTTGTCTTGTTGTACATATAATCCGAAGCTCGGCGACGAAACAGCCAGTGCTGAGCTCGACCATTCTAGTTGGGAAGCGAGCTGTGGACGCTGTTTTTACACATGTGCGCGAGCGACTGAGAGGTCGACGAGACAGACCACCGACCAGATCGAGCTATCCGGATGACCGGATACCAGACAATCGACCAATGGCATCGCGGCGACGGCAGAAGGGCGTTGGTCGCGTGAGTTGCTTACGATATGGGCCTCGGCGTCCGCGTGCTGCTGCTCGTCGGTTGCCTTCTCGAGTCGACGCGCCTCGTGGCCGGCGCCAGCTGCGACGCACTGCAGGCTGCGTACGACGATGCGGTCGACAACTGCTCGGTCATCACGAGCGCGCGCAACATCACGTACATGATGCCGACGTTGTGGTGCCAGGTGCCAAGCTGCGTCAATGCGACGCAGGTCGCCGCTGCCTTGGCATCGCATCCGTGCAAAGTACCGAAAGACACGTACCCGGCGCGCCACTGCGACGTACGTCTTGTGCTCGCGCTCGCCCGCAACGACTCACAGTCTCCTCTATAGCCTGCGTGCATTGCGACGCTCACGCATGTCAACCGCAACGCGCTCTCGTGTGGCGTGGCGAGTACGCTTGGCGCCGGCGACTTGTATCACTGCGAAGCGTGCAAGTTTCTGTTTCAGAACCTCTCGGTCTTTAGCGCGTCGTGCGGCGTCGCGCCCGGGACACAGGAAGCGAGCTCGTACCAAAGCAAGTTCCTCGACCCGCTCTCGTACTGCCAAGCGACGTTCCACTACACGCCCGACTTTCCGTTCAACGTCTCGTCGGCCTCGACGACAAGCCCGTCGTCAACGTCGTACACGGTCGGGATTATCTGCGCGTGCGTTGGCAGCCTCGGCGCCATCGGTGCGCTCGCTTGTTTTTGCAAACGGCGGCGACGGCGCAAGCCGCTCCGCGCCAGTCTCGTGCGCATCCCGACGACGCGGGCCTCGACGATGGACCTGGACCTGGACTTGGCGCCGTACGTCCTTCGCACCAACGACCGCGCGTCCATGGCGGCGTCCAACATGAGTATGTCGGCGACCGACGTCCGGTTCGACCCGCGTATCATTCGCTTTCGCATTGCACTCTCCGAATTCACCGACAAGACGCTGCTCGTCCACGGCGGGTGCGTCATCATTGCATTGTCATGTACGATCTGATATGTCTGATATGCAGGCAAGGCTTGATTTTCCGCGCTCGCTGGCAGCACCACGCGGTCGTCATCAAGCAGATCGCCAACGGCAAAGACTATGACGCGATCCAGGTGCGATAGTTCAAGATGGGTACAGAGGATTAATGGTATATGTAGGAGTTTATGCAAGAAATTCGCATCTCGGCGGCATTGCGGCACCCGCACATTGTTGCGTTTCTTGGTGTCGCTTGGACGACGCTGCATGACATTGCGATCGTGTCCGAGTACATGGCCGGTGGCGACGTGCTCTCGATCCTACGCGACCAGCGGACACGGCCGCGGTCCGAGCAGTGGCTGCAGTGGGCCCGCCCGCAGTCCGCCCTCACGTCCAAGCTTGAGATTGCGCACCAAGTGAGCATGGCGCTCGACTACATGCACAGCTTGGAGCTGGTCCATCGCGACATCAAGGCCAAAAATGTGGTCTTGAACGCGCAATTCGTCGCCAAGCTCTGCGACTTCGGCATCTCGCGGCCCACGTGTCTCACGGCCACCATGACGATCAACAAGGGCACGGTCGCCTACATGGCGCCCGAGGTCTTTACGGGCGAGCGCTACTCGGAGAAGGCCGATATCTACAGCTTTGGCGCGCTCGTGGCCGAGCTCGACCTGATGGACACGCCGTATGCTGGCGCGGACGAAGGTATGGACGCGATGGTCGGCGACGCCCAGATTGCACTTCAGGTACGTCGTTGGATCGATAAATGGATTGTTGGATTCATGGATAGATGAACTGATGGATTGTTGGTTGGTGTAGGTGGTCGAAGGCGGCCTTCGCCCGCAGTTTACTGCTGCGATTCCCAACGACGTCAAGGCGATCGCGGACGACTGTTTGGCGTACGACGCCGACGTCCGGCCGAGCGCAAGGGACCTCGAAAGTCGACTCCGCAAGCTCGTCCACGCCATGCGCCGAAGTAGCACAGCGAGTCGTCGGGACAGTCGGTCGTGTGACGTAGAAACCCCCATCACGTAGTATATGTTATTCTCTTGTATCTCTACGTGTACAAGGATCGAGAGAGGACGCAGTGCGTGATGGTTCAAACGTAGAGAGTCCGACGACTCCTATCTCATAGAGCAAGAGCTTTTGCCCTGTACACCACGGACGCGCTACAGTGCTGCATGATACGCAGGGGCAAAGGCGGTGAAAAGGACGAGAACACTGTCTCGCAGATAGGATATCCAGAAAGCACTGGTCGAGTTCGCTGGTTTTGTGGTCCAGCTCGTGTGCGTCACCTTTACCGCATCATTCCACTGCGTTGGCGTCCACTCAACGTCCTTGCTGGTTGATGACGATGCCGAGCTCGTATCAACTCGATATCGCCCTGTGCTGAGAGAAGGGCCGTGGTGACATTAGCCAGGACACCTCTTCTCACTATGGAGACCACACTCTTAAGCAGCTCCGGAGACCGGTTTTGAAGAACATAGACAACTTGTCCACAACTACGCCATGTCATCATCGTCGTCGTCATCGTCATCCTCGTCGTCGTCTTCGTCGTACTCCATCTCGTCGCCATGTCCCTCGCCATACCTACACATGCATAGGTCGGTGATCTGAACTTGAAACAAAAGGCAAACCGCTGGACGAGCTCGTCGCGCGTCGTCGGCACGTTCTCGACGAGGTCCTTGAGCGCGAGCGTCGGCGGCGTCATTGCGCCGCTCACAACACACGAGATCTCGTACGCCTTGGCATACGCGGCCTTGGCGCCGGCAATGTCGCCGGTGATGACGCGCACTTGGGCGAGCTGGTCGTAGTAGATCGTCTTCTCGTGGTGGGCGCCCGGCACAACGTACTCCATGCTCGAGATGATGCGGTCCCACATGGCCGCCAACGTCGACACGTTGTGCACGAGCGCTAGCCACATGTTAGCCATTCTAGTCGACACATGCTCGACATACCTTGAGCGCCGCGGAGCCCGAGGGCATCGAGGGCCCAGAACAGCAGGTAGTGGTGCGGGTGGAGGCGGCCGGTTGACGCCGCTTCAATGCCCGCAAGCGTATCGGGAAAGTTCTCTTGCAGCGCCGCTTCGAGACGGCAGACGTCGTCGACTTCGGCCGGCGTCAGCACCTGCGCATACTCAGTCTCCCGACGTGGAGGTGGTTAGGGTTAGGATACCTGGTGGCAGCTTTGGCACGCATACCCGGCCGTCGGCGACGGGTGCACGATCCCGCTTTGGCAGTGGCCGCAGCGGAACGCGCGCGCGCGGTCGATATGGCTCGTACACGCCTCGCACTGGCACGCAAAGCAGTAGCTAACTCAAAGTTGCAACGTTGACGCTTGAAAGAGTGCGAGGTCCGTACCCGTCGAGCATGCTCGCTTGGCGTTCAGCGGTCGGGCGGTAAAACATGTTGCCATAGTCGATCGAGAGCGGCTCGTTGGGCGCGATCGGGCGAATCGCCGTCACCCACAGCGTCGTCTCGGCCGTCGTAAAGCTAATTTGGTTTGGTTCATTGAGAGTTTGGCGAGTGGCATCTACCTGCAGTTGGGCGCGCAGTTGTGCTCCATGAGGCAGGCCGAGAGGAAGAGACCGGTGCCACCAAGCGTCTCGAGTTCGTGCGAGTTGGTGTTGAGGACGCCAATGATTTTCGTGAGCACCGACTGCGGCACCGACTGAAACACAATCGGGAACGTCTTGCGGAGCGTCTTGGCGGCCGCTTCGCACGCCTCGTTGTTGGCATGCGACAGCTGCAGCAAGGCCGCTACCGACGCTTTGCTCTCGAGGTACTACACGTCGATCGATGTAGCGTTCTCGTTAATAAGCAGCATAGATATCATAACATAGAAATCATATATGCAGCGTACCTTGGTGACAACCTTGAGAATGCACTTGGCGCGGTCGACGTCGCTGATGATGTCCATGTCCATCATGGCCACCAAGATCTTATGGAACGACTTGCGCATCGACTTGGCGAACTCGGGCTGGCCTTCGGTCTCGTCGAGGAGCTTGGCAAACTGCGTGACGTCCTCCAGCAGCGCTTCGCAGTCGCACGTCGCGTACACAAACGCCTCGTCCTTGAACACAATGTCGCCCGGCGCAAAGGCCTTGGTGGCCGTCACGTAGCGACCTTTTGTCGCGTCCGTCTGCGTCGCGATCGCAGCGCGGGCAAAGGTCGGGAGCTGCTCGAGGCTCATGTCGGTCTATTCGAGGATGATTGGATGGCCTTTCCGAGAGCGTGCGCTGTGATTGGCTATCCCGTGACGCTGTCAAATCCATTGAATGGCGGCCGGCAGGCATTTATTTGATCGGAACCAGTTTTTTGCCATTTGTCATCCAACTTGATACAAAATTGATACTTGGCACAAGACAGCAGGAAGAGCGTGCTTTCGGCTACCACCACAACGATACACCTTTCTCGCTATAGCTAGTGGATGGACTAGCCTTTATGCATGCCAACAAGTTGCGAGTCGGTTGCAATGTCGCCCAGGTGGAATACGAACTCGGCCGGTTGGTCATGGTGCAGTGACGTGGTGCACTGCAGGCGTGGTCCACCAAGTTGCAGCAGTGCCCGTAGAAGCCTGGGGTCCTTTTCTTATACTAACATATTGGGTTCGTTTAAAGGGGCTCAGTTAGGAACTCTGCAACGTGGTCATTGGGTGTACCGGTGCCCGTGCGATGACGTGGCGCCACTGTCGACAGCGTCCAACAATTTTCAATCGAGTTCAGCAGCAGTTCACGTAGAAGCCCAGGTAGAAGCCCAAGGTCCTTTTCCTCATACCACCATACTCGTGAGTGTCATGCGGCTCATTTAATATTTCTGCAGTGTGGTCATTGGGCGTGTTGGTGACGCTGCAATGACGTGGCGCCACTGCAGACGGTCTCCAGCAACGTTGAAACGGGATCCACAGCAGGTATAAAGCCGGCTTCGACAGGCGTGATCGCTCTCGGCACTGACGGTTCGCAGGTCGTCATCGGGGTTTCCGACGTGGTCTTATTGACGTCTGCCTCCTTGCATCGACGATTCCGCGCGCACTACGAATGGTGGCGATGAGCATTATTCCGCTGCTGCCACGTCTCGCAACTCTGGCTACGCGTCATCCGCTCTACTTGCGCAAGGGCTCTGGGAACGAACGGGCTACAGTGGTTGGTGAGTATCACTCCAAAGTAGTGTAAGTAGGACGGACGCCCAGCGATGTTACCGAGAGCACGACTTCGACACGTGCCAGGGACTTGCGTATGTACGAGATTCAAACCTACAATGCCACTACACATTGTAGACGCGGCACTCGACCTGCTCCTTGGCTTCTGAAAGCGACTCCTCGGGTCGACCTCGCTGATGGTAGCGCTGGACGATGCGCTCTTCGCTCAGTCAATAGCTTCGTTCAAGCGGTCAACACCCACTGTCCAAGTTGTCGACAGCGCCGTTCGAGCTCGTGCGTGTGACCCAAGCAAGTACAGTGGGCTGCACCGTCGCTGCAGCGACATCCACCGCGCTCGCCGTCGCGTTACTGAGCTGCTTGTTAACATACACGACCATGCTCTTGACGTCGTCGGCCGTGTTTGGCCGGTCAGCGTCGGTCGATGCAAGCGCAGCGGCGGCGCCGCGGAAGGCTTGCTTGAAGTGGCTCCATGTGTAGCTCACCTCCATGGTTGCCGACATCGTCGTATCCTTGCCGTACTCGGTACGCGCCTCGTGGTGGGCGATATGGGCCGTGGCGACATCCGTTGCCTCGTTGCCCTGGCGCTGGGCTGTCTCATCTTTCTTTCTGTGAGCACGAATCGCCATGTTGCGTTCGTTGAGATAACTCGTTTCGGCCTTGGACAGCTCCTTTGGTGCGAGAACTTGGAAGTTGATGTTGCTGGCAGTTGCGTCGGCCAATGCGGTAGATCGCGGCGTCTACTTCCGCCCTGGAGGTGTCGGCATCGATCGCACTTGTCCGACGTTGGAAACGTCATCATCGACGACATGATGACCTTGGCGGCGGTGCTTTTTTGAGCCCACGGTGATGCGGGTGGCGTCGTGCGCGGCTACTTCAACTTGCGTGATGAGCCCGGTGTTGTCACATGAGAGGTCCCAGCCCGCTGTGAATCCCGCTGGACGCACAAGCCAGCGCCAGCTCGGACAGTTGCGTAAGATCTTCGACGTGCGTTGTGCGCATTTTGAAATGTACGTGGTGGAAGCTCGCAAACCTCTTTCTTCAGCACTCGATATCACAGCCCGCATCAAATACAAGAGAATATGGTGTGGCGCGTCGCACAGGCGCTTGGCCAAGGGATGGATCCAGGGGGCGATCGAAGCCGCGTCGACGCCGAAGCCCTGTAAGAAGCTCAGCCGAAGTAAACGGCCACGCGAGCTTGATGAGAGGGTCCACGTTCGACCTATTCGCCGAGCATATTCAGGTATGGGTCTCTTCCGAGTTTGTGTCGGCAGTAGCCTTTGAACGCCATTGTGGGTCTGGCGAAGGGTACCAATGTTATCCTCGGCACAACTTCCCCGATAGCAAAGCCACGCTTGTAGGCGTTGGTGCGGCGGCTGCGAGACACTGCGGATACGGGCAAACTAGCATATCAATGTTGCTCGCACGTCGATGAGAACCGAGTATGCTGGTACGAGGAAAATGACTGTGGGCTTCTACCGTCACTGCTGCGGATCTCGATTGCATCACGCACGGCTCGCGAGTATGTTGGTTCGAGGACAAGGCGTCGACGGCTGCTGCAGCTCGATCTCGTTTGAAAATTGTTGGACGCTGTCGGGAGTGGTGCTAGGTCCTCATACGAACAGTGATGTACTCGGTGGTGCAGCATTCCTATCTGAACCGCAAAGTGATGACTATGTGGGCTCGAGGAAAGGGTACCGTTGGCGTCTACGAGCGCTACTCTGGATCTCGTATTCAATTTGCTGGAGACCGCTGGGAGCGGCGCCGCGTCATGGCCTGTTCTACCCCGTCCAGTGGTCCCGTTGTTGAAATTCTACAGAGTCGCATCACAATTCGTTGGTTGAGAAACTGATACGTTTGTGTTTCACCGCTAGCAGCACTGCAGCGTAGTGGTCACTGAGCGATCCCTATCGAGCAGTGTTTCTGTCAGGCCATCGCTCGATCGATCGAGCCATTTCAAGCGTGTGGACATCGTCATCAATGTCCGAGTGACGCAGCAACAAGCCTTGGCCGCGACAGACTTTGGCGCTTGAGAGTCCGCACACGAGTTGAGCCGACGCCTCGACTTGACATTGAGCACACTTTGTGGCCGCACGTCCAAGACATGGTCGGGACTACGACTTCCGGCACGGCGCAAGGGCGACCGCAAACTCCCGAGATTGCACGAAACCGATAAAACGGGCATAGGGTTGCGTGTCTCGGTCGCCCTCTCAGCGTTTCACTTGCAATGGTCGAGCCTCTTGATGCCATTAATCGAAGGATGGTCAGCCACCGGTGTGTCTGCAAGCCAGAGTCAGAAGTTTGTGGCGCCTCTGGATGCCCGGATTCCTCACATTTCAAAATCGTTACGCGAGATTCGAATTATTCTCGTCAAGAGGTGAAACCGCTGGACTCATCATTATATGGGACGACGAAACGACTGGACTTGCGGCAAGGATTGGCTGTGAGCCTCCGATTAGTACTTATTCTATCCTTCTTAGTATACGACCCGCCGATTATAATGAACAACAAGGGAAGACGCGCTGGACTTCACCACGCTTCAGACTGATCGCTTACTTTGCGCTCGAATGAATCACAGCACCGAAAACGTTCAGCAGATTACTATCGAAGTTCGAAGATGCTTCTCCATGACCACAGGCCGCTTGATAAGTCTGGGATCACAAATCCGAATCACGACATCACGGCGGGCCGACTCTTACCATACCACAAATCGAGGGGCACTAGGTCTTTACCTTGCTGCGGCAGCTCTCGGTACAACGGACACGACGCGTCCCGTTGGTCCAATCGTACCAGAATACGTGCACTACCCGGTATGGTCTACCACTCGAAAGATCTCGTCACCAGATAAGATCTCGTCACGGACTCACGGAACGGCTCCGCGGCTTCGAAGTTCGAAGATGGTGTGCTGATGTTCAAGATTTGCTGGCAACACTTACTGCGCTTGGCGGCCGATCTGTCTCCCTACGGCTTGCCACTGTGCTCTGTCGATACCACTCGAACGCAGCTCCAAGTGCTCAAGTGGCGTCGGGCATGACGTGAAGAGACCGCCCAGCGGCCAACACGACATAACACACGACGGCCGAAACACCTGGTATCGACGCTTCTCGGGCCGCCACCGTGGCGCTCCCTGCGTTCAGCAATAATGCACAGGAGCTGTGGCTGCTGCACTAAAAAGATGTATGACGTGAGGTGAATGGCGTAGAAATGCGCCACCAAGTTCTTATCGGTGCAAGCATTCCCCTCGTGCTCTCCTTGGTCAGAGCGCTGTACTCGGACTAGTTGGCTTAGCACAGTGGCTGTGCAGCACGTCGTCAAGTTTCCAGTTTGCTCTTTCTACTGGGACTATCGTTTGGGATTGGCAAGACGGCGTCGGAACTCACTTGGCCACGAAGACCTGCCACAACAAATCACCAAAAATACACGCGAATCGCCAAAGACACCCCGCTCTCAACGCGACCGTGAAGACAACATTGAGAAACCTGTAGGAAATAATATTCCCATCGCCTCATTCCAACACCAACTATCAGTTTGAAAATGAGGTAACGGATGAGTCAAAAGTGACTGCCACCAAAGCCGTCAACGGCAATCTCGGCCTCCCGTAAAAATACAAATTTCCCATTTTTTTTAAAATTTGCGTTGCCAGCATGCCAAGCACCTTTGTTGTCAAGCACTGCGGCCACGACAGCGTCTTCCTCCCCAAGTACACTCGGTACGCATGGGGCGTCTCCGCGTCCTTGACCCTAAGTGCTGCGTAGGTACCAGAAGGCGCAGAAGGTCAAGGTACAAACCAATCCGCAAAGGCGAATGGCGCTCACCTCGTTCCTCTGGCGCGTAGGTGCTTCGGTACACTGCTCACCGCGGTCGCCGCGACGGAATACCATGTCATGTAGGTGCTTTCCTCACTGCTGCCCGAGCCACGTGTACTACCGGTACTGCGGCGCGCCCATCGAAGTCAAGACGACGCTTCCGCCCAGCTCGTCCAAGGCGGCGTCGCTCGAGGACTATGTCGCGCTGCTCAAGATCGCGCCGGCGTACGACGACGACTGGGCAATCGGCGACGTCATTGCGCCAGTGACGCCCGCCGACCTCAAGGCGCGCACCGACGAGCACGGCACCGCGTGGCACGTCGGGCGCAACGAGCTTCAATCAAGCGGCGAAGTCGGTTCGTGATGTATTACGTAGTACGCTCACGGGATTTCTTAGAGCACGGTGTTGACGACGAGCTTCAACAACGACCTTGTCGACGGCTGGGCGTACGGCTGGAAGAGCGGCCGGAGCCAGGTCGTGCGCGACTGTCTCCACCACGTCAAGGTGCCCATCATGCGTGGCTACAACTTTAAAGGACGCCTCGAGTAGGTGTTTGTCTTTGCGGTCGAGCGATCGAGCAACAGCGTGCACTGGCGGCTCGTCGACTCGGTCTTCTCCCCTGGCTTTACCTTTGTGTCGTACCGCAGCCTCCACTACGCCAACGCGTCCGAGTCCAACGAGAATGCTTCAGCGCATCAGTCGGCATCGCCCGTGCTCTCCGTCCACACGTTCAACTTGCAACCGAGTGGCATGGCGCCGCCGTCGTCACCGCGCCACGTACCGCCCCAGACCCAGCTCATGGCCAACCGGCTCGGGCTCCTCTTACTCTGCGTATGCCAGCTGCCCGTGTCCCAAGGGCCATGGCAAGCCGACTTAATCGAGGCGGTGGCCGCAACCCGACGCGCAACGCCGACCCCGCTGCCGTTTTGGCGCGTCGCGGTAGTATCAATGTGTCAAGTGGAATAGAGTGGAAGCAAAAATCGTAGGGCGAGCCGCCAAGCGCAGTGCGCGCGATGCTCGTGCCGTGGCTTGTGCACCTCGTGCAACACGCCACCATGTACGAGCGGGTGATTACCGCCAACAGCAACTGCCTCTTTGACAAGGCGCGGCTCATGACCGCGTACAATGCCTGCGTCCATGTGCTCCACGCGGTCTCCGAGGTGTTTTTCGAAGCGCGGGGCACGACAGTCGGCGTCATTGCCAAAGCCGTCGCAACCCCGGACCTCGAAGACGCGTTGCAGGCCCAGGTCGCGACCGAGGGGTACTTTGGGTACCATTCGTTTGTAGCGCATTTTCGCGAAGTGTTTCTTGTACTAGCGATTCAATTGAACTCGCCCGGCCTTTCTGATGGGCTTGTTAGAGCTCGACGTCGGGCCCTGTCGCGTGGCCAAGAGCGCGCATCTCGCCACTGTGTGGCGACTGGATCTTTGATCCGAGCTGCAGTCGCCTCGAGCTACCGGAATGCTCTGTCCTGGACGCCGTGCGGTGGACGACATGGCTTTATCGGTGTCGCCTCGCGCATACTAACGGCTCGCTCTGGGTACGTGGCAATGTGTATTGCATTTGGTGTTAGCAGAGCGGCTTAGGTGCAGTCGCACTGGGGCGTCTACGCGAGTCGCCCGAGCCGACTGGTGCTCGACGGATCCCCGCGCATTCTGCGCGTCTTTCCCAACGGCGAGTCGACGATGGCCGGGCACGGCCATGTCTTGAGTACACTCTTCCGCGGTCCAGTGACATTCTTGATGTATCGATCTTGGTAGATGGAGACTATGTCGCGTTCGAGCCGTCGCGCGGCGAGGTCGTCGTCGAGTACTTTGGCTACGACCTGCTGCGGCACGAAGGTTCACGTGTCGTTTTGCATCTGACATGCCGCGACAAGAGCCTTGTCGTCCGCGCCGCGATCCACCGGCTGGTTGCACCGATGGACGACGACATTGTGTGCTGGAGCCCCGAGAGCCGCGTCCAGCTCTGGGCCACGTCCCCATTCGACGTCGTTGGTCGCGGTGACGCCGTGTACGTGGCTGCCGCATAGAGCATAGCTCAAGAGACGTAATATGACTGGGGTCTCGATCGATCTGCACTCGATTTGAATCGATACCAAGCGCGGATCAGTCAAGTGACGACGCGATGCGACCCCACGGCATGACGCCGTTGGAGCCCACAACCACGCAGACAACGCCACCGCACCTCCAACGATTTGGAATCGCTTGCGGCAACCACCCGTGAGCAACCATAATCCTACAAGTATCATCTCGCGCGGATGAAGCGAATGATCGAGAACCTCCACCGCTTGGGAGGAATCTCGGGCACTTAGAAGCTGACTGGAAGGGGATACGTCATGGAAGGAGGACTCGGGTTCCTTGAGACACGTTGGCACGACGACAAAGGCGCGGTAGATGCCCAGCTCTGTGCGATGAGCCGAGTGTCTCGCACAAGAGGATTCTGCGTCGTCTCAGATCTTAGTTCAACGGAGTGTTGCTGTGGCGCGCTGGACAACATGTAATATCTGGTGCCGGCCCGTCATTTCCCCAACGCGCTTTGCGATGCATCGAGCGCCACCAGCTCTGGTACGTGTGTTGCTCTCTGCGGTAGTTTGGCCACTATAGGAAGAAGAAGAAAGCACTTTGAGCTTGGACCACTGTGTAGACAGATCTGTAGACGCGGCGCAGAAACGGGCAAATGCTTTTCGCGCAATGTGACGTGACCAGCGATCCCACTGCTGTCGCGCACCAATGACGCCATTTTGATGGCAATCCTGACTGACCGAAGGTCCGACGGTCGCCCTCCCAACGCCGCCAAAACCTACCCTTGCATGTATCATGAGGTATACTCTGTCGCACGAGTGTCGTCATAAGACCCTGCAGGTAGGACCTTGTTAGTACAAGCGTTTCAGTGTCGACTACAGAAGAGGCCAGTTACTCCGGTTTCAAATAGTATTCGGCATATGCCACAAATAAGACCCTGCCCGCTCGCGTCGACAGGGCACTGCAAACGACCTGTACCATATATTCGTGGAGCGCTCGACGCAAGGAAGACAAGTATGTGCAACCGCTGTGCAACGCCCTCTCGCACGACCAGTTCGCTCGCTAGGAAGCCAGCACCCGAGACTGCCGCGTCGTAGGATTCGGCATTCTATGCCGCTTTTAACACGGACCAATGCATCGCCATATTGCACTAATATGAACGTCTACAACGCGGCCGCGGCCGTCGTCGACAAGGTCCGGACCAAGCACAGCGGGATCCGCACGGCGCTGTACGCGCTGCCCATCTCGCATGGCCTGCGGCCGACGATCCAGGCGCTGGCGCAGGAGAGTCTCAAGCACGCGGACGCGCTCGTGGCCGGCGCGACCACGGTCGGGCTCCTCGCCGCCGTCCAAGCCATTGACGCCACCGAGCGCGTCGACGCGCACCGCTTCAAGGCGCTGCCCGCCTTCTTTCCCGAGAGCCTCGTCATCGTCTTGGCCTACGAGCTCCTCGTTGGGCCGCGCCGAAAACTCAAGGGCGCCCACGCCGGCAGCGTCGCTTTGGTGCGCGACGCCGAGGCCGCGCTGCGCTCGTTTTTCGAAGCAAATGCGACGACGCACCCGAAAACAGCGGCCGCCATCGCTGGCAAAGCCAAGAGCGCGTCCAACGACATGGCCTTTCCCCGCTACATTCGCGTCAACACGCTCAAGACGACGGTCGCCAAAGCAATCGCGGGCCTGACCAAGGCCGGCTTGAAGCCGCACGTGCACGAGACGGTGCCCGAGCTGCTGGTGCTGCCGCCGGGCACCAACCTCCACGGCCACGCGCTCGTCAAGTCGGGCGCGGTCTTTGTTCAGGACCTTGCGAGTTGCCTTCCAGTGGCAGCGATCCCCGACATTGGCCGCCACCACATCGCTGTCGACGCGTGCGCCGCGCCGGGCAACAAGACGACGCAGCTCGCTGCGCGCCTCGCACTCGCGCACCCGACGTCGTCGTCGGTCGTGGCGTTTGAGCGGGCGCCGGCGCGCGCCACGTCGCTCCGCAACACGGTCGCCAAGGCCGGCGCCAACGACCGCATTACGGTCGTCGAGGCCGATTTCCTGGAGACCAACATGGCGCAAGGACCGTGGGCCGACGCGACGCTGGCGATCTGCGACCCGTCGTGCTCGGGCTCGGGCAACGTCGCCGTCGGCGAGCCGGTGCCCGAGCACTCGGCCGACGAACTCGCTGCGTTTGCCGACCACCAATTTGCGATCGTCCAGCAGGCCATGGCGCTCCCCAAGATGCAAACGGTCGTCTACTCCACGTGCTCGGTCCACCACGTTGAGAACGAAGGCGTCGTCGCCCGCCTCCTCAAGGCCCACGGCGCCAAGTGGGCTCTCGTGTCGGTGCTGCCAGCTTGGCCCGAGCGCGGTGTCGAGAGCGACGCGCTTGCGCCCCGCGTGACCAAGCGCTGCGTGCGGGCGTCCCACGCACAACTTACCCACGGCTTCTTTGTGAGCTGCTTTGAGCGGCGGCCCGAGGAGCTGGCACCGGAAGCGCCGTCGCGCAAGCGGCCGGTCGACGCAGTGACGGCCCCGACCGCGGGCCAAGCGACAAAGAAGCAGAAGAAGAAGAAGCAGAAGAAGAAGAAGCCAACGACCAAGGCCGCCGATGCGTAGACTGTATGAGAAAGGCAAGGTATTCTTCACAAGACTGCGAGTCTGTTGTCATGTGGCTACGAGGAGAGGGACGCAAGTGTTTAAATCAAGAGACTCGGACGCGCGAGTACAGGGCTAGCAACTAGGAGGTTTGGCTCGCCATCGGTCCGTCGAGTCGGTCGCGTGGCGGGTTGAGCTTTTGGATCTTGACCATCGCATCTTCCTTGACCGAGCTAGGGCAAGAATGAGAGGCTGACGGTGATGGACGATGGAGGTACTACCTGAGATCGTTGGGGGTCACAAAGATAAATTGCTTGCGCGAGGCCTGCTTGGACGTCTCGACGAGCAGCTGGAGGGTGTGTGTGCGGTTGATACTGTCCATAAACACGTCGAACTCGTCCATGACACGAAACGGCGACTCGATGCACTCGCCTGCACCGCATCATGAGCCTTTTCTGTAGATAGACAATTCGATTACCGAGGGCCATGAGCAGCGCGACTTGGGTATAACTCCGCTCGCCGCCCGAGAGCTGCTTCATGTCGCTGACCATCGACTGCTTGGTCTTGCCAGCTTCGTTGGCCATGATGTTGATGTCGAGCCTACCAGCAAACGCGTCATGAGAGGTCTTGCATCGTCCAAACTCAAGTCGTACCGCTGCTCGTCGTGCAGAAATTTGAGCTTCCCGGCAAAGTTCTTGGCTTGCATAAACTTGTTGAAGCCAATGGACGTGCGATTGGCAATCTCAATGCGGAGGTTCTCCCACTTGCGCTTTCGCGCTGCCAGCATCGTCGCGACCGTGTTGACGTTTTCTTCAAACTAGGCATTCCTGAGTGATGCATTCCATCGCGATGGCCGTACCTGAGTAAACTCGATGTTCTTCTTGAAATACTTCATCGTCTTCTCCTCCTTGTCCAAGTGGAGCTCGTCGAGGTCCATGTTGTCAAACTTGCGCTTCTCGCGCTCCATGCGTGTCTACGTCATGTACGATAAGGCACCATATAGACGGACCGACAAGTGCACCTGCACGTCCTTGATCTGCTGGCTGTAAAACGCGGGTGGCTCGGTGCAGTTTTCCACTCGGGGACAAAACGCTTTGGCTTTCGCCATCGTCGTCGACACGAGCTCTTCTTGCTCGGCGACTTCGGCCGATCGAGCTGCCACTTGCTTGGCCACCTCTTTTTGATCGTGTTTCGACCGGAGAAGCTTGGCCGTCGCGCTTGAAAAGGTTGCCATCGCCGCCGTCACGTCGTTCTGGAGCTCTTGAAGCTGCGCGTCGAGCCCACGGGCGTCCTTTTGAACCCGTGCAAGGTCGTCTTCCTTCTGCTGGAGCTCGGGGTTTGATGTTGTGAGCTCGCTCTCTAGACGTTGCAGTTGCGTGATCGTCTGCTGGATCTCCGTCTCGAGCTCGGCTTGTTCTTCTTCGAGCACCGTAGTATCACCAAGGTTGCTCTACGCACAAGGTGCCCATCAGCATTTCGAAAACTTGTTTGACGACAATGACAGACCTCGCTTGGGTCCTGCGTCTGTCGCTGCAGCGCGTGGAGGTCGTTCTCGGCGCGGTTGAGCTCACGGCTGGCCGCGTCCAAGCTCACCGTGTGTTGCTGCATCTGCTTGCGCAAGTGCTCGCGCTTGCCGCGGAGGTTGTCTATCAATCGATGAGCCTCATTTCGTCAGATGATGGATGCATGTGTACGCTCGTCGCGCGAGAGGGCTTGGAGCTCGTGCTTCTGGCGCTCGAGACGGTGGTTGATGTCGTTGATCTCGCCCGCATTGTCTTGCGACAAGATACGTGCGTGACGTTGCCCCTTGTTAGCAATGTAAGCCACGTTGCCGTTGCGCACGAGAAGCTTGTCGCCACTGGGCATGTAGACCTCCGAGACGCCCTGCACAAAGCGCTGTCGCCCGGACGGCCCCTCCATCGTCGCGTCTTCTGCCTCTTTGCGCGTCGGGTACACGTACTTGGACTCGATCTTGGCCACATCCACGAGCACATTATACACGTCCGGGTTGTCAATGTCCAAGAGTGAGATCACTGCATGATCGCCCAGAGGGCCACGGGGAACGTGCACATTGTCGTACCGCCGGCCGGTGCGCTTGGCGATCAAAATATTCGCTTGGCTCGGCGGAACGTTCATCTGCCGCTTGAGATTGTCCAAGACGTTCTTGTCCCGGCCGTTCGCGAGAAGATAGCTGCCAATCACGTTCTTGAGCACGACCTCGGCTGCAACCGCCTATGAATCAAAGTTGGTCATCGACCGGCGAGAGAAGGGACGTCCTACATATTGCTGATGCTCGGGCTTGAGGCTAAAGTACATGCCAAGCGGCCCAATCGGCGGCGCCGAGAACTTGTGCAGATTGTCTTGGATCGCTTGCTGGAGTCTGGGAATCTGGTTGCCAAACGCGACCAGCCTATGCCATCAGTCTTCGTCGGCACGTTCGAGCTCATGGAAAACCTACTTGTTTTGACTCTGCGACTCGAGCGCGCGTAGGCGCGAGGTCAGACGCTCAACCTCGCCGCTCGCCTCGCGCTTTTGCTGGCTGCACGCCACGTACTGGCCTTCGACGTCGTCAAGCTCGGCTGCAAATTCTTCCATCGGCTTGGACTAGACCATGAGGATATATGAGATCACCGCCGAATTGTACCATATATATGTGAGTGAATGCACCTCGATCTCCCGCTTCTTGGCTTGCACACGATGAAGGTGTTCCTGGGCGCGCTGGATGCCTTCGGCTTGCTGCGCTTGCTGCTTCTCAAGTGACCGGAGGTACAGTTGGTACTTGGCACGGCGCTGCTCCTTCTCGTGCTCGATGCGCTTCAAGCGTGCTTGCGCCTGTCGAATCTGGTGCTCCATCGCGTTCTTGGCTACACATCGTTATCGATTCAGCCTCGATGCATCGAGAACGAGATCTCTACCCGCATGCTTCTTCTGGACGGGCAGCCGCAGCTCGCGGATCTCTTGCTGGAGCGCTTGTTGTTGGCGCTGAAAGACTTCCTTCTGCGCATCGACCTCCTGGAGCGCGTTGTTCTTTGCCGACTGCTCGGCCGAGCGCGCGTCGACCACTTGTTGTCGTCGCAGCACCTTCTCGGCAGCGACTTGCTGCAAGTGCATGACTTGGTCGAGCTAAGACTAAGATACGCATCCCGATCATGTAATCAAAGGAGGGATACCTGTGCTTGGACGTCTTGGAGCGAGAGTTCCTGGGCGTTGACAAAGGACCAGGCCAGCGACTGCTTGAGGCCGACGAGCTCCTCCTTCAAGTGGCCAATCTATCGTGATAAGAATGAGCACATGGACGTGCGAGAGACCATTCATTGCGTACACTCTTGGCTTCTTCGTAGAGGCGCTCGGCCTCCTCCTTGGCCTTGAGGAGCGTCTTGAGCTTGCGCTCTTCCTGGACAAGCGTCGATTCCTGCCGCAGGCGCGTTTCGTCTTCGACTTTCGCAAACGTGGCGCGCATCTTGTAGAGATCCGTCGATTGCAAGAAGAACTAATTGCATCCGATGATTGCTCGAGGCTGCACCATGGGATACAACGTACCTTGTACTTGTCGGTCGGGTCGCCTTTGAGGAAGAGCTTGGCATTCTCTTGGTCAAGCACGGCGCAGGGGTTTTCAATCTACGGCCAGTCGAATAAGGTCATGTACATGCGCATCTGTCTACCTGGATGTTGAGATGGTCGAGCATCGCGTCGAGGTCCGCCTTGAGCTTCGAGACGACCTTGCCATGCTCGTTCTTGAGGCGGTACTCGGCCGTGCCATCGCGACGGATGAGGCGCTCGACCATGATGCGCTTCCCAAACGACTCGGGGCGGAACGCGTCCGTGCCTTGGGCTAGTCAAGAGCAGCCTTTGAGGCCAATATCCTACGTCCATGTGTCTACCGTCGTTGAGGAGTGTGATGCGCACGATTGCATTGCCATCGTGGCCGTTGCGGATGAGGTTCTTGATGCTCTTGCCGCGATGGGTCGCGCGGGCCGACGCACCGAGGCAGATCTGCAGCGCGGCAATGATCGCACTCTTCCCGCTGCCGTTCTCGCCCGTGATGAAGTTGATGTTGCGGCAGAGACGGATGCACATACGGCGATGGCACATGAAGTTCTCGCAGTAGATCTCCTCGATGATGCCCATCTCGGAGGCGGTTGCCGGCTCGGCTGGGCTCGGGCTCGGGCTTATCGCGACCGCGCTGTTCCCGTCCTCGTTCTCATCGCCCTCGTCCTCGTACTCGTCCTCGGAAGGGTTCACGAGCTCATCTTCGTCGGCCGTCATGCGCATGGCGGCCCGGCGCGGGTCGTCCGTCGCATGGAGTTTCCTCGCCTTCGTCGCCATCGGGCCGTTGGAACTTTGCTCAACGTACAAAATAGGAGTACTTTTTTACGATATTTTATTCGGCATACAAACACCAAGCTTACTGTCATGGAAAAACATTTAATGGCGAGCGACCGCGATGCGATTGGCCATTGTGGTCTCGCGCCAATTTTAATTTAGAACGGGCGTGAATGGCTAAACGCACGCACCGTGGTTTGATACAGATTGCAAGATGTACGATCATACCTCGACCGTCAAGTTTCAAAGATGGCTATTCGCACGCAGAATAAAAGATCGCGCGCGAAGCGAAGCGGTGTCAATGGCGCGGGCAGCATGCGCGCTAGCAACACACCCAAGCACGTAGGATCCAAATACAAGGAGTCTGTACATGGACGAGGCGACTTCACTTCCCCGGTTGTAGTGCCCTGGATATTGTCCGGCCATTTCGCTGCCAAAAGCGAAAACCTGTGGCAATCGATATACAATATGAAAGGTTTCAATCCTGCATGGTGATTCGCTGAAATGCAAATGATTATGCGCCAATGACAGAGCCGTCTGTACAGTCTGCACCGCAGGGTGTGATCGTTCGGTGGGATGCAGCTCAGGTATGAACACTTCAACCGACATTGCAGCAGTGACATTAGAAGCCATTGTACCTTTACCCATACTAACGTACTCGGTCGGTGATGCGGCGCTGATATAGGATCTCTGCAACATGGTCGCTGCCTGGCTGGATTTGGGTGACGCCATTCCAAGGGCACCTGGTGCCTTAGCGCGCTTAACACGCCCGCACCCAAGGAGCAGATTTTACGCTATAAGGTTTCTTATAGCAGATTTTACGCTATAAGTTTTTTTGCGCACGCGGCGTTTGTCCCGAGAATCGGGCAATATGATTGGCCGAAATGGATCGATTTTTTGCGAGCCCGATACGTGATTGGGTATAATTGCGAGCTGAGGTCTTTGAGTTGTGACAAAAAGTAGTCTCTGCGAGGAGGATGAGAGTAGCGTAGTGGGCTTGGTCAGGCATCGCAGAAGAAGGTTCCAGAACGTCGCGAGTTCAAGTCCACACGCGCGTTTTGCTCTTTTTGCGCCAGAACAGAAGCCTAGTTTCGGATTTATTTGTGCGCGGCACACAGGCAAACCAAACGAAGGGGATATATGATGAATGGATGTTGTATGCGCTACTACTCTAGGTTAGGAGCGTTGCGCCGCCTTCTAGCGGACCTGTCGGCGGCACATTGGCCACGGGCGCCTGGGCGTCTTGCGCGCGCCGGCGGGAATCGCGGAGCAGGCACTGCACAAGCAAGTTACTTTGGCGCTGTCGAACTCGACCTACCGATCGCACAAATAGACAGGTTGGTCGTTCTAGGAAGGACACAACATAAGAACTGACAGCACGTCAACAGGCGAGTTGCCGTCCTACATGAAAATCGAGCCTTGGTGCCGCCAGCTATTGCCGGCGCACGCGCATAGCGATCCTTCGCGTCAAGGGGCTTCGAATTCCAAGGGTTCCATGCTCGTCGTCTTCTCGAGCGCCTGGCTTTAGTAGCTCGCTTCTCGCCGTCCTCGGCGCGCGCATGTAGTACTAG